TCGAATGTTTGCTGCGCTAAAAGGACAAATAGTGTGAAGGGAGTTCTGGGAATACTCGCCTTCCAGAATGAAGTTAATTGATAAAAATACAGATGTAGTGGTAGAGACAAGGAACCGGGCGCAGGCAACGAGGCACCACTGTTCTTCATGCTTGCAGCTCTCTATACAGCAATAGCTGCTGCTGGCTTGAGGTGTTGCTTCACGTGTGAATGGCCATACAGGGCTGTGAGGTTGAGGTGATGTTCCTTGTTCTTCTTTGTGTGGAAAAACAAATCTCAAAAGTCATGGCGAGCAACACCCTCAATTCTCTATGCTTAATTCATAATAGGGTGCTGTATATGAGGTAAGTAACAGAGATTGGGGCCACATTTGCATAATAAAGACCAATGCTGCTGCAAATTCCATCTTGCTCTCTGCAATAGCATAATTACAGACCGTGGTCTGTAAACATTGCATTTAAAGAGAACTGAGCCCAACCACATTCTAACCTATTTGCATCTCGACCTTACAGATGGAGACTATACCTGTAGCTGGTTGAGGACACCATATAGCAACAGCATTTCCATTGATAGATTTAGTGCACCAGGAAAACTGGACTGCTGGGGTTTTGCCAAATTCCAATGACCCTTATTGCTTTTAGCAAGTATACCTTCGACCCATTCAGTTGCACTGGCACTAGCTATTTTGCGCTCAAAATGTGAGTTGTGCATTATAAAAACCTCTTGTCTTTAAGGTGTAGGTGGCTTTTTTATTCTTGGATACAACCATTAAAACTCTTACCTGCAGAGATGTATTCCCAACCTTAACCAAGTGACAGCACACGCATGCACGCAGGGAACGCTGCCAGTACTAACAGTGACATGCACTGGCTTCACATGACTTGTCTGGGAGGGGACAGACAGCTCCTGCTTGGAAACACACCCCCGTCTCCTTAGCCTAAACCCTCATAAAGTTTCCACAGCAGGAGTGAAAGGTGAGGAGCTGAACTCCAGACTCTGAATAGGCACAAAGGACCTCTCCTAGTCTGCTGTCAGCAGGAGAACGGGCAGCCGGAGGTCAGGGGTGTAGCAGCTTGAAAAGATGCGATAGAAACGTTGAGGAAATCATTAAGAGGCAATGCCGTGTCTGGGTAAAGGACGAGGGTAAGCTTTTCTAGGAACTCTGGCTGCCTTCAGACCTGTGCAGTGCTTGGCACAGCAAGACATCCACCAAGCACGACATCTAGTCCTGCATCTGCCCACACAGCGTGGCTGATATGCGACTCTTTGGGTGACCAGGTAAGTTGTCCTTATGTTTCTTGCCTTTCTATACATTCATGGATCATTTTCTCTCAGGTGGGTTGTTTTCCACTGTCTGGGCACTATAAAGGTTGATTCCAGTGAATTAAGGTTTACAACAGAAGAATCAAGCAGGAGGGAGGAATATACTAAGAAGCTGTGGTGGGCAGGCAGTCCATCATAGCAATGTACCCTGTTACCGAGCTGTGCCTGCCAGCAGGTCTGGATGCTGTCAGGATACAGTACTGGGTACAACACAAGGAGAAGCCTCAGCCTGGGACAGCAGAAATTAAGGGAACAGCAGAGATGTTCCCATATATTATAAATAATAACGTACATGTTAAAACAAGTGTAAAAAGTAGGGCAGTTCTTTCCTTTTCAGATGATGCTGAGCATTTTCAAACATGACTTGGATGAACTAGCTCTTTCTGATATCTGAAGTGGAAAATTCAGTGAAAATACATCTGTGACTTAATGAACAGTTGTTGGACAAGTGATGAAGTACATGGAAATAATTAAACAAAATGTATCGGAATTCTTTATTGACTGGTGCATGGGGTTTTTTCCCCTTTAACATCAAAACACTGATGGGAAAAACAATGACTTTTACTTTAGGGGTGAGAATTTAGTTTGGATCAAGTCTTGTGTTAACTAATTTGAAATAACCAAAAAGGAACCTTTTTTACCGCCCTTTTTAATCAGCACCAGTTCTAGCTAACATTTGGAAATAGCTGCAGGCAGCTGAGATCTTCACTGGTTGATTTGGGGCTGTGTAACTTGGCAGCACGAGAGCAGTGCCAAGCAGCTGAATGGCTTTTTTGTTTCCCGAAACAGCCCTGGTTACACCAATGCTTTTTTAATGCATTTGGTGTATTCTGAATCAGAAGAGACATTATCCAGCAACAAAAGAGAGTAGGCAATGATACATTGCAGGAATCCTCATTCATCAAAGTTTATCTTAAGGCACGTAATGTAAATTTTTGTCCTGTAAATATGACTTATCTGAGATTTTGGGAAGAGGAAGGACAAGCAGATGCACAGGATTGCTTTGAACTGGAAGTCTTTGCCCAAGCAAGACTTCTATCATAATTTGATTATTTTAAATGGAGTATTACTAGAAACTTGACTGTGATTTTAACTCTTTCCTAAACTCACAGAATATGGGGCTCAGTCACGCAATGGCTCTCTCCTCCTAAAACCTCAAAGCAGAATCACGTTCTCTGCTGTGCTCTGTTCGTGAGCTCTTTGCATGCAAAGATCCAGCAGCCTTCCAGCAAGCAGCTGGCTGAGATACCTCTCTTACGTCTGCCTCCCTGAGGTCTGATCTACTACAAGGTCATCAGAGCTGAATAATCCCTTTAACCACGGAAAACTATGACAATGCTCTTTGCTGTACTGTGTCAGCAGAATAATTTCATATCGCTGTTTTCATCTCCCTTGTGGGTGGTTGTAGAGAAGACAGCGCAGGGATATGAGATATAACAAGGGACATTCTGATTAGATACGGGGTGGGGGAAATCACAGCAAAGGTAGTCAAATACCTGGATAGTTTTCCCAGAGAAGCTTTGGAATCTCCGTCCATGCAGACACTCAAAACTCAACTGTTCCGGGCTCCAAACAACCTGCTGGAATGGAGCAAGAAGGAATGGATTATTTAAGCTCGACATACTTTTAGCATTAGTAGTGCTTTCTTGGAGGCAGTGGGCACACGTGCACCGAGAGGACCTGTGTGACCAGATAGGTGTATAGTGACTGTTTTGTAACGTGAATGCATCACTGTGACCACGAGGGCTTTTGGAAATGAAGATAAGATCCATTTGTCCTGTGGCAAGTAATTCGTGCTGTTCTATTCAGGCTGGCAGGTTATTTGTGGTTGCTACTTACAGGTATTCCTCGTAAGATATGTTAGAGTCCATCTATATTTTGTCAGTAAGGTTATGGTTGGCAAGGTTGATATAGTGGAGAAATAAAATACACAGAAGATCTCACAGACTGGCTCCAGTAGCTCACAAGTTAATAGTGAGGAACTCCAGATCTCAGGAAACATGAGAAGTCCTAGGACACTGTGACTTCCTTAACACATCCTCTTTTTAAGCAACAGCACCTCAGGGCACGTCTCTCACTACTTATTTTGGCCAAAGGAGGCAGAGTTAACTTGGCTGGTTTTTAAGGCTGCTACCAAAAGTTAGCATTTCCCATAGGAGCACATAGAGCCAGCCCTATGTCGAAACAGCGGGTCAGGAGTTCAGATTCATGGCTTCAAGTTTCAAATCACTTCTGGCCTAATTTTATTTCTTCTTCTCAGAACTGTTTAACATCAGCTTCTTCCACTAAAGTATGTGGTTTGGTGGGTGGCCTTGTCCTTTTCTGTCGTTGGGTAAGCAGGAACACGAGCAGGAAGAAGGGGTCCAGTTTCTGTCTCATGCCCCTTGACATGCGTACTAACTTAGGGATGTAACACAGGGAACACAGGGAAGCAGAGCTGGAAATGCCTGTAAATAAACAGTTGCATTTGTAAGAATGTACCCAGGAAACTATCATTTCAAACCTTCTGGCTAACATGGGGACTTCTTTTTGGCAGTGTATTCCTCCTCACTGAAACGCTGCAAGAGGAGTACTCCCAAGAGGCTTGCTACCATCAGAAAGGTAATGGAATGGCATCTTTCTAATAAATAACTTTCCAACTGTTTCTCTTTATACTTTAGGTAATATGGTTTGCCTGTGCTTGACTATTCTTCTGAGTATGAAAAGCAAAAAGGATTTAATTCTGCAACCCTCAGTGATCTGGCCTTCGTCTTAGAATTCATGTGTTTGTTCTGAAAGACCAGGTGAAACCAACACGACTTTAAGGAATGTTTTGTTAGCTTTTGCTAATTATAATTTATAGTAAGAGTGCAGCAATGTCAAACCTGTTACACAATAATCCCTAGGACAGCAACAGCAGGTCCTGAAAAACAGAGATCTTGCCATGGCCAGCACTGAAGCCCCAGCAGCTACTTTAACTTTGGGATTTTATTTCATTTTAATTCTATTTTCTTTTTCACCAAAACCAGCAACAAATGATCAAATGCAGGGAGATTTATCACAAGCTCTTGTCCATTTAGGACTTTAAACCCCCAAACTGACCATAGCAGGACTTGAAGCAAAGATGATTTTCTCACTTACCATGTTCTTAAGCTATGACTTACAGTTCCTCTGCCACGAGAGTGAAGGCTGTGGGGGGCTCTACTGTGTTAATTCTTCATGGCACAAACTCAGTTTGTGGCAGTTGGATTTTTGTTTCCATCCTTGTTCATTTAACAGCATGTCACCGTTCTGGAAGAGCGCAGCTCCCATATCCTTATTTCCCTGCAGTCTCTAAAGGGCTGGAGTTCCTACTGGGTGCAATGTATTCCTGGGCCAGACCAAGGGATGAAGCTGTGTCATAACACACCAGTGCCACGATCAAAAGCTTTGGGTTTGGCTGTTCTCCCAGGTTTCTTTGTTACCCTCACATCCCTGGTAGTCTTCTAGACAATACTAACTCATTAGGACATAAGGGGATTTCTCTCCTCAAGAGCTCAGTTTACTCACTAACCAAGATGAAGGAGGGAGCGGGACAGGACAGAGCAGAGAATAAATACTTGACAGTTTTGCAACTGAACTAGAAGCTGAGGGGATTTGCTGTTGTCAGCTGTTTGCAGCTGTACAAGGTTCACTTACTTAGATCACCTCTTATTTCAGATGAAAAGAGACTCTGGATACCCCACCATGGCTGAACAGCAGAAGCAGGTAAAGACTCAAGATTAACTTTTCAAGTTTCATCTCTTACCACTACAGCAACAGCTTCCCAGCATTTTTCCCTACCAGTGGGCTGCAGCTACAGCACCAAGTGCCAAAGGGCCTGTCACCTTTGCTTATATGGCCAGAGACCACAGCACTCCCCTGTAGCCAGAAGCTGTGCCACCTAACTGGGCCCACACCTCAAAGTGGTAGAGCTAAACGATGTGTTTCCCAGTTTCCTTACCTTGCAGGCAGCAGCCCTGTTCTGCACTTAGGGAATGTTCCAAGGCCTTTAAGGGCAAGATCGTGGATCCATGGATCAGAGCAAGGCAACTAATATGCTGGAGCTGCTGGCATGAAGAGAAACAGGGTGTTAGCACTGGAACTTGATGAACAAGATGGGTTTTTTTCTATGTAAACTTCTCTGCTCCTACAGCTCATGTAATTACACTGTGTGGGCTTCACTCACGTAATCACTTCATCACGTGCAATAAAAACACAGCCTCAACACAAGACAGCCTCCAGCCAAAGGGCTTTTAAAAGAGCTTAAGTGCTGAGCTTCAGCCACTCTTTGTCCTGTCTCAAAGCAGGACATACGCAGTGATGAGTATTAGGAGTGAACAGGTTTTGAAACTCTGAGTTCTTCAGCTGGAAGGTGCTAAATAACCTGAAATGCTATTTGGTCTAACTAAGAATTCTGATGCTTGTGAGACATCAGGGTCTTTTCTTTGGTGTGTTCTTTTTTCATCCCAGGAGAAAGAAGGATTGATGGGATACTATTCCATTGAGAAGTTCTAAGCTTTGTATAGCTTTTGTAACCCTTTTTCTAAATAATATGTAGATGGTGTTCCAGGGTCTAAAGATTAGGGGAGTCTTATCTCGTGTCAGCACACACGAGATATAACATGGATGCAATTGGAAGTATGAAACTGCTGAGGGAGCAAATCTCCGGCCCTGAATCCAGCAGGCACTCTCTGAAGCTGGAATAGATGGCTTTTGCCAACCTTGCATTTGTAGCTCAGTACACTAGTGATAACGCTGGCAACTGATTGCATTGCTTCCAATGTAAAACTGCAGGGTTCACATACATCAAGCTGTAGGGCAAAAGTCCTTTCAATTACTCCCAAGTGCTAACTTGATCAAAAATAAATGATAGGAGATGAAGGTTGTTTGTTTTAACAAGGAAAGTTTCAGTGCTAATGAGCAAAGTTCTGTCCTGGCACAGATAAATATTGCTGACAAGTCCTGGGCAATGTTTACTGTTCTGTAGCTGTTACAGAATCTTAAAGCACTGAAAGCCATGTAGAGAGGATTCCTCCATGTTGCATTACTCTAAACACACCTGCATTCAACATTTATTAGTGAGCTGTCTCTCTTGTTTGTCCTCTCTGACAGGAGACAAGCAGGACAGCAACTGTGAATCATGCTATTTTTACTCCAGTCTGTTTGTGCAGCACAACAACACAGTTTAAAAACAGGAAGGACAGAGTAAAGAAACAGACACTAGCTGGTTAGTACACTGTAGTCTTTTAGAACTGCACTGATTTCTTTTTAAACATTTATCCTGCAGATACATATAATACATACCCACCCAAGAAACCCCAAACTAAGATTGCTGAACTCCAGAGCCGATTCCACCTTGGGCTACTCTAAAAGATAGACAGTTAATTATACATTTGTCATATATTTGATAAAGAACTAGATTTGAATATTTGAGTGCTCACATTGAAGTTGCTTTTTATAGTTAAAATCCTTAATGTGATAAGAAAGTCACACTAACGTCACATTTTATGTCCTTATGCTGTACACAGGAATATTTGTTCAGTAGATAACATTTCTGTGACTGAGAGTAGGGAGTTAGAGCACTTTACACTTTTGAGGAGTATTTTAGCTCCTTGTTCACATGCAGAATTCCATACAAATGGCACATGGTACTTATTAGCCAAGTTGTACTCTCAGTACTAGAGCTGAGTTGTACTTGCGATGGCCTAAAGGCACACAACGTGCATTATGCAAGGAAAGGTATTAAACATCTCTTATACTTGTGGGCAAAAAACCAGGCAAGCTTCTGGGCATGTGAACCTGACTTCAGAATCAGTCTTCAAAGCAAAGAGGGAAGTGGAGAGGAGTGGTTCTGGATTAACGGGACCTGTTCATCAGTTCACCTGAGCACAGCAGTTCTGGACTACTGTGGGGAGGAAGCGTTACTGCATACTGAGAGGGAGAAAATACAGAGGGAGGGAGGTGTGGAGTTGGAGCACCATTCTTTACCCCCGGGTCTTCCTTTCCTACTGCTTGTGGTTACCCAGAAGCCCCTTATATTATAGTCCTCCAGGTACCAGGAAGTGTGCCAAATGAAAACAAAGAGGGAAAAATCAGTGGCACTTTCTCTCCCTTTAATTATTCCGGAGAAATTCCATACCAGTGACCCTTCGGGTCACTGTAAGCGTGGCAGATGGATGTGTGTGTACTTCCCCGCTGCTCAGTCACACGATATCCCATAACAGCTTTGTTGTTGTGTTCTTTAGAGAGTTTGTGAAACAAAACAGCCCATCATAGGACTGCCTTCCTTCCCTGCATTCCAAACACAAAACATCCTAGTGCAGGACTCAGCAGCACACACTTACTCTTGTTGCTTGCTTGCAGGAAGAGAAGCTCTGGGATGCCATGAAGGTCACTGCCTGTGTCCTCGGAGCAGGCCTGCTACTATTCACCGCCTTGGAGAGCTCTGCTTGGTAAGATGCTTTAACAAAGGGGATTGAGGAAGAAGCTTCTCTGTGGAGAGGGGAAGAAGTGGATGATGAAAAGATGGGCAACCAACACCACTTATTCCCACAGGTATGTGCAGAATATCTGGGATACGTTGGGTCATTTCTGGCAAACAACCTGGCTAAAGCTCTACTACCTGCTTGAGGGAAAGGAGTCGACACTCTTCCTCCTTGGTGAGTTTTAACAGCTCTCTGCTGTAGGAACCATCTGTGGTTGCAAATAAAAGGGGGACATGGACATGCCTTCCCAAGCTCTCTTTCCTCTCACTGATAAAGCACAGGTAGGCTTCAAAGAGAGACGGAGCTGACATAGTGCCACTCTGCTGCCTTTGGACTGGTTCGCATCAGACACCCTTTGCAGATCAAAAGGTTGATCTCTTTCTGCTGCTGCTGAAACAGTTTCCCAGAGTGAAGACACCTTCTCCTGTGAGAACTGGATGACTCAGTAGAATTACTGAAAAATGAAGCAAAATCAGTGACTTTTACTCTTGCCATAGCACCTATATAACTTCTCTGTCTGTGGTTAACAGCTGGTGAACAGGCCTGGTAGGGATCTTAAGAGGTCCAAGAGATCAACTTAACCTTATCCTACTTGTATTTAAAACCCACCCACGACAGAGATCCCCCAGCCTCCCAGAAAAGCCCTTTCTTGGCCTCAGTTGTGGCACATTTCAACCTGTGAGACTATTTGTCTGTTAACTTCCTGGGTGTCAGAACTTACCCATATTCCATTTTAAAGCATCTCAGGGCAGGGGATACACATCTGGCACATCTGGGTCCCAGCAAGATCATCTGGATACGATGCCACTATATTTTGTTTCTGATTTAGCCTCAATTTATTCACACATCTCTGACCTTTTTTCATGCCACAGGGGCTGCACTGGTGCCTTTCCTTGCTTTCTGGTGCTTCAATGGAATCCTTATGGTGGCTGATGTAACAGGAAAGCCAACTTTCATTACTCGCTATCGCATTCAGCTGGGCAAGAATGATCCTGTAAGTATTTCTCACCTGCCTCTTCTGCTGGCTAAATACTTCCTGCTGTCTCTTAAGCTATGAGCAGGGAGAAGAACCTGTTATGCTTTCCTCTTGCAACCAGATAGGATTCAAGGAGAATCCAGCTGAGTCTTTCATATCTACTGCAGAAAGGAAGGCAGTTCTTGTGATGAGTCTACTGACCAGATCTGAATTGGCTGCTTGTTAAAAAGCTGATCACAAAACTAACTGCCTACAAAACTTAAAGCTCTTTATCCTTCCCATTCAGAGCTGCATTGCTCCTGAGTTAGCCTCAAATCTGAATTCTCTTTTGTAGGTGGACACAAAGAAATTGTGCCAAGCCATCCACACAGCACTGTGCAATCAGTTCTTTATCTCCTTGCCCTTGCTTCTGCCCATGTTCTACATCATGAAATGGTGGGGCAACACCTTCAGCAAGGAGTTACCCACCTTCCGCTGGTTCCTTGTGGAGTTGAGCATCTTCACCGTAGTAGAGGAAATTCTCTTCTATTATACACACAGGTGAGCTGAGCACAGGAACAGGACTCTCTGGTTTCCTCCATGCCTTTAAGCTCACACCTATCTCTTGCAAAAGCAGCAGCAGCCCCAGTGCCCCCTCTTCCACCAATCTTTTATGTATATGGGAAGACTTAACAGGTCCTCAAATCCACCCTTACAATGTGAGGCTTTGGTGCTGGCAGTAACTACAGTAAGAAAAAATGGGTAAAATTACAAAGGTGGAGCAGTTTGGAAGCGAAGGAAGAAACAGGCTGGGCAGATTTACACAAAAGCTGTGACCAAGTGTTCCTTGGAAAGAGAAGAACAAGATTGACTGTCCTGAAAGAAAAAATGCTCAAGAGGCCAATGGCTGACGGACCGTTCACTTGTACAGCACCTATGAAACAGGGCTCCTGCCACTGCAGGCTTTCTGACCACTGACACCACCACTAAAGGAGGAAACTAAAGCAAGGGAGAAAAGAGCCTGCAAAAGACTGTGCAGGAGCAGGAGCATTTCAGAAATAGGTTTCCCTTTCAGACAAATGCACCTAAAAAACTTAAAAAGCCATTTCTTATGAAGGAGCCACAGAACCTGAAGTTCTGACTCTGGTAGTTGCCAGCAGGAAAAGTCAAAATGGTGAAAATATAAAGCAAATCTTCCCCTAAGGAGTGCTCCCAGGCTTGAGCAAGAGTAATTCAGGGACTGATTTATGGGATTCACCTGGGCTTAAGTTTAACATCAGCCAGTGGGCACATCAATTGAGTGAAGGCCCAACACTCAAGACAGAGAGAGATGGACACCAGGATTCCTACACTCTTATTCCCACTGCTCCAAAATCTTCATGTTAGAGGAGGCACAAGCAAGTCCCCAGCAGCAATTGTGTGTGATGTTGCCCTATGTTCCTTCCTGCAGAGCTCAAACCCTGCCTTTCTCTGTTTTCTCTGCTTAGGCTTGTTCACCTCCCGCTCCTGTACAAGCACATCCACAAGAAGCACCACGAATGGACTGCCCCCATCGGCGTGGTCTCCATTTATGCTCACCCAGTAGAGCACATAGTAAGTGGATTCTCCCATGGTCACCCTGCACAGAGTGTGATTTACATGGGATGAGGAGGAGTGGTAGGAAAAGCAAATTAAGCAGCACTTCTTTCTTAGGAAGTTCAGCTGCACTGCCAAGAAGCTTGGCTGTAGAAGGGTTGCAGTTTATACTGCTTGCTTTAAGAGCACAGATCCAAGGGCCTCCAATAGATAAGGAGCTGACTGAATGGTGCTTCCCTGAGCGTGGAGAGAATGGCTTTTTATATTCACAAGTCCAGCTGAGCCAAGCTGGTGGAATCAGCTTGATCTGGGCAGCAACAGCCATTTGTGCTGGTAGGACACGACGAGGTGGTGCATCACATTGGTGCTGTTGCACATGTCCACAGGCCCTGCCCTTTTACAGCGAGGTTTCCCAAGAGCAGCCTCAGATTATTCCAAAGAGAGGATGAAACTCAGACCTCGGGCTGCAGGGGGATTTACTGGAATGATGCTGTGTTCACAACCATGGGCTGATCTCACATCTAACTTCTACTACAAGCTTAGAGAGCGACTATGTTAGTAAAACTCAGCTCACTAATTCTTCCTTTGGTGATGAAGTGAGTTTAGTAAGGTGTTTGAATCTGCTTGTTGTGGACCCATTAATAAGGCCGAGTTTGCCCCTCGTTTCTAGCTGTCCAACATGCTGCCTGCCATGACTGGCCCGATGCTCGTGGGCTCTCACATTGTCTCCATCGCAGCGTGGTTCTCCCTCGCTCTGGTAACAACGAGCATTTCACACTGCGGATACCACCTGCCCTTCCTGCCGTCTCCGGAGTTCCACGACTTCCACCACCTCAAGTACGTCTGGGCACTGCCCGGCTCCCCCTTCCCCTCCTGCAGCCTCCTCCAGCAGCTGACTTGGAAACTGCCTCCAAAGCACGAAGCATTCCAAGTTCCCCGAGATTACATGGGAGCAAAGCACGTAGTAGGGTAGAAGTAGCAGCTACCACTGGACTTCCCCCAGCACGAGCACAGGGGCAGAGACGGTTCTGTGCAAGGCTCTTCCTAGCAGCTCAGGAGTCACTGCATGTGATCCAGAATAAAGACAGAGCAAGGACAAGCCACAAAGCTGGAATAGATTTGCAGGAGCCTCTCTGCCCCTTTCCCGTAGAGGGGGATTAGTAACACTGATCAGGTAACACCTTGCTTAGACAATCACATTTAACCCAGAGGTTCCCGGCCACCTCTTACGCTGGGTTCCAGCAGGTTGTTCCAGAGATGGAAAGCCACAGCAGTGCAAGAGTTGTTCCCATCTCCCACACGTGCTCTCAGTTCACAGACATATCCCCCCAACAGCTTGCCCCTCCGAAGCTCCATCAACACCCAAGTGCTGGACATCACCCAAACCACAGCGCTGGTTCTCGTTACCAGTCCTCTCACAAGCACAGCTCATGTCAGCACTGCAGAGCTGAGATGCTCTCAGGGCAGTGCAGTGACAGAAGTTGTGTGGGCTCTGAAGGGAGATGGGAACAGGGAGAAGGGCACAGTCACCTCGGTAACACCCAGGGATGTTCGTTCTCTCTTTTCCAGGTTCAACCAGTGCTACGGAGTCCTGGGAGTGCTGGATTACCTGCACGGAACGGATACAGTGTTCAGACAGACCAAAGCCTATGAGAGACACAGGGTCCTGCTCAGCCTTACACCGCTCTCCCAAAGCATCCCCGAGGCACCCAGGAGGGCAGAGTGAGCCAAGACAGCAGCCCCACAGACAATGATTTATGCCAAATAGTATTTGAATTGGGAAACAAGTTATTGTTCACACACAGCAGAGCCCAAAGCTGAACATAAACACGCTACTTGAGATGACTGCACTTTTGCTGCTGTTATTTTCTACCCAAGGCACAAACTACTGCTCTAGGAAGCTATTTTTAGACAAAGTTTAGAGTGTTTTCTCTTAATTACTTGCACTGTTGCTTGGTTCTAGCTGCCTGCGCTAGGGCAATGTGTTCTGGGCCACATGGGGAGTTCCTGGGCAGTTCTCTTTACGAAGGTTTTAACACTTCAGTTTTCACAGGCTGTGCTTTGGCCTCTCTCAGCAGCTTTCCATAGAAATACAAGAAGATCACGGTAAATACAAGGGATTAAACCTGCTATTCTGAGACTCAGGATGCCTGGGATGTGGGATGCATCCCCATAGGAAGTCATGAGGCTTTAGAAACTCCCCCCTGCACATGCAGAGGTCTGGCTTCCCCCGAGCAGTGTTTGTTCGTGCCAGGTCTGAATGAAGGGCTGTCACGTCCTCATCTTCACTCCACAAACCAACGCCTGCAAACAGCGAGTTTCCCCTCATGGGACAGGGAAGGAGAGCTGGGAGCTGATGTGCTACAGGGCAGAAGCCTCCTCCTGAGCCACATCTCACTCCCCACACACCCAAAGGAGGCACAACCCAAACCTGTACAGTGACAAAACTGTGGAAGGAGACTTGCCAAGGGAAGAATATTCCAACTGCCCCGAGTTGCGTGGAGAGCAGTGAAACCCTAAGGAAGGACCTGGCAGAACACACCTTCATGCACATGAATCTGTATCTACACAACCCAAATGGTGCCAATTCAAAGTCTCCATGCTCAGACAACAGTGATGCACCTCTCACCACCACTAGACCAGGCCCCCCGGGGCACACAGGCAGGCACACTGCTCCCACCCCCCAGCTCAGCAGAACACACAGCTCAGGCTCCGTTGTCTTTTGAAGTTTTTATTTTTATACATTTTTTTTTGTATTAAAAAGGAAAAAGCATAATTACCACAAATTACAAAGGACTAAAGCATTACTAGAATAATGAATCACATCAGCCTAGAAAGCAGATACTCTGAATAATATTAATGTTATAATACAAGCTCTCATTCAAGTATTTTACATTTTTTTTTCCTCTTTTCCTTTTATATGTGATGATGATCCTAGCACATGGGTCAAAGATTATGTACTATCGACAGAAGATGGATCATGTACAGCGGGCCATATTAACAAGATTTTTCCTCCCAAGTGATACATGGTCTGTGATGAGTCATTTTAAGTTTGTCTCTACGATAAATGCAGCTGAAGAAGGTTGCACACACTTTCTAGTTTTGGGGAACAGAAGGCTGAGGTTGGGACACACACGGGGTTGGAGAAGGGCCAGCACATGGAACCATCACCCCTTTTGCGCCAGGCGAGCGCGCAGCTCAGGGAGGGGGGTTCTGAGCCACGCATCCAAAGGTTTCCAACCCCAATGGGACCAGGACAGGCTGGGACAGGAGGAGGGGGAGCAGGGCTGCTCCGGGGAGGCTCGAGGGACCAAGAGGTGCCACTTGGGCTGTCACCTGGAGGGTGATCTGCAGGGAACAGCGCGGGGAGCCGGGGCAGGCGGTACCCAGGGCGCTCCCTGCTCCCTCCGGAGCTTCCCACCGAGGGGATGTGCTTGTCACAGATACATCGGTCCTATGTTCAAGTGTCTGCAGAAAGTGAAACTGTAAACTACTCATTGAAACACTGCCCCCAGCCCCCCGCCCCCGAGATGAACGTTGCCTTTACAATAAAAAACTGAAAAGGAAAAAAGAAGTAATTCACCTATTACCTGTATTGGAAACTGAGGGGGGAAAAAACCAACGAGAAGAGTCAGTGAGGCATTTAACATCAAGTGTAGCAACCCTCTCTTACAAAGAGCCTAGCAATCCATTTCAAAACAGTGACAAAGTGACATAACCAGTCTCGGAGGAGACGGGGGAAGATGAGCATTGCAAACACAGCTTGCTACATTTACAGTTTTCCTTTTTTTTTTTCTTTTTCTTTTCCTTTTGATACGATAACTGGAAAGGCATTAACAGCTAAAGGCCCCCTCTGCTCTGCCGTGCGGAACGCGTACGGACGCGTGGCAGGACGCTGAGGTTAACACATCGTGTTGTTACAGTACAGTCGACCAGCCCCAAGCAAGACAAGCAATTGCCGAAACCCGAGGGCCCCCGAGGGCTACAGTGACACCATCGGGGTGCGAGGGGGGCAGCAGAAGAGGGACGGGCAGGCGATCGGAGCAGCAGGGTTATTACTTTCATTTATACCCCCCATCACCCTCCTAATGAACATGGCAAAGCAAAAAAGCCTCCTCCAAACACACCTCCTACCTCCACGCCAGAGCTCTGTACCTGCTGCATCCCAACGGCAGGCTGACCTCGCAAGGAGCCCTGGGCTGTAGCAGCCTGGGACCTCCTGAGAAGAGGGGTGAGATGGGGAGTGCTGCCCATGCTCTGCACCCCCAAACTGCCCGGGAGCAGCCAGGGCTCCCTCTGGTTGTGCTGGCGGCACCAGGACCACGCAGCCCGTGTGAGCTGCGGGATGGAGCAGCGCTCACAGGAGGAGGCGTACCCGACCGCTAGAATTAAACACAGCACAAAATATGATCATGGTCAAGCATCCAAGCTAAAAGCAAGGCCAAACGCAGGAGGGTGAGAGCTTCCTCCAAAGCACAGCCACTCTCTGGGCAGCCATCCCTTTGCCCTGTGGTGGTGCGAGCCACACGCGATGCCTTCTGCACGCAGCTCTGAAGCATGAGGTCCAGTGTCTCTGCAGACCCCGTCCCCTGCGCAAGCCACGGGGGAAAGCCTCACTGCGGTCAGCCCTGGCACTGACCACACGCTGCACAGGGGTGCAGGATGCTGCCCACAACCAGAGCACTGCGGAGCTGTGACCGGTGGGCGCTGCGCCCTGGTGCGGAGCACAAGTGACCTGAGCTCCCTCAGCCCAGAGGCAGAGCTGGGACCCAGCCACGGCCGCCCCAGGCTGTCGCATCCATCCTTCCCTGGCTATGCTGCTGTCTGACAGACAGTGAAGCAAGGCACAAAGCTGGAGGGCGGTGGGACCGCTGGGATGGATGTTCTGATCCACCTTCCCCTGGGAAACAGCGGAGGGGATTCACACAGAGCCCTCAGCCACACTGATGCGACAAACCACTGACTCAGCAGAGCGGGGGAGAACTCTCCTGTGCCCTCTCCCTGCCAAAAGCCTCAGCCTCAGAAAGTAAAAAAATAATTTAAAATCAATAGTGATTTGGGGAAATTCTCTGGGAAACTTCTTATCTCTTCTACCACCTAAGCAATTCCACAGTCTGCTCCACAAGCAACGACTCCACAGCAGCAGCTCGTTCCTCCTCACTTCCTATTTCGTTTGCGGCTAGAACGCAGACAGTTGGCTTTGAAAGAGAACACACACGGACAGGAACACAGGGACACGGCAGCCAGGACCACCCTCAGCACTTCCAGACCCGCTTCCACTTGCCAACAACCAGCAACGCATCTCCAGTGTCCTTGATCAACCCCTATCTCTGAGGCTTCTCCTTCCCGGACTGGGTTAAACCCGGCCGCATCCGTAACCTCAGAGACCTGACTCCGGCTCACGAGAGAGGGAAAATCCAGGGATAACAGTCATGGCCACAGCCCTGTACAAGCGTTACTTGCCTGTCTTGCCCAGTTACCACCCTGCACTCTCAGAGCACTGCTGCTGTAATGGAGCAAGCCCGGACAGGCTGGGGGGGCAAAA